CCAAATATTTATCTACATCACTTTTTTTGCGTCCGACTTTTTTTTTTAACTTGTTTGATTTTCTGGTGTTCATGATAAATCATCGAGAAGCCTCATGCTCCTGTCCACGTTGAAAACCTAACAACGTACATATCAATCGTTTTCTCTTTTGTTTCTTTTTCCTCTTTTACAAGCAGTAGATTGCGACTTTAAGATTTGATCTTTTTAGTAAAGCTGATCTTATATTTGCACATGTCCTTGCTCCTTATGATATGATTGGTATATTGGATCAACTAATATGAGCGGGTGAAGCCTTAAACACACTATATATAATAGGGTAAATTTTATAATGTGCGTTCTAAAATAAAGAAACAAAATACTTCCTATATGTAGATTATGTTATAATGTTAAAATATTTATCAAATTTAAAGTTAAATCCAAGAGAGTTAAGAACTTAAGATGGATAGGACGGTGATAATGATGCGTGGCCAACATTATTAGCAAATTGTCCTCCATCAATCAAATATTTCTCATGACTTACTGAACTTTCTCGATAAGAATTGTATTCACATCATGTACTGCAAATGTTGAAATAAATGGTTCTTTTTTTTTCTCTCCCAACAATGTATTGCTTTATTTTTCAAGAAAAACAAACAATGTATTGCTTTTAGCCACTGGTTTGGAAAAATATGTTAATCAATAGACGTCGCTTTAGATAATTGATTCACTGACATGATATTAATTTAATGACTTTTTGAATATAGCATAATTAGGGCTGGGCATTTTATCCGTTATATTTGATTCGATCCGTTATTCGTTTCGATTCGATCCGAAAATTCTGGATATCCGTAAAATTTCGAATCAAAGCAAATACTAAAATTCAATATCCGTTAAAATCGAAGCAAATCACAAATATTAAAATTTTGGAAAGCGGATATCCGATCCGATCCGTAAATATATAAATATATGTATATTTGATTATATTTAAAATTTTAATTGTATAAAATTATATAATTATTATTTTAGCACATGATTTTGAAAAATTCTATTCAAATTATTACTTATATAAAAGTATTACATAAAAAGAGATAAAATATTTTTGACAATTATATTTTTTTCGTAAATTTTGTGTTATTATAATTGTAACTTAAACTTTAAAAAATTACAAAATCTATAAATTTACTAGTTCTTTTAATTTTTATTTTATATATCATGCAAAAAAATATTTTTGCAAAGCAAANATTATAATTGTAACTTAAACTTTAAAAAATTACAAAATCTATAAATTTACTAGTTCTTTTAATTTTTATTTTATATATCATGCAAAAAAATATTTTTGCAAAGCAAATTTGTATCAAAATCTTAAGATTATTTGTACTAATTAAAATGGATGAGATATCCGTAAATATTCGTAAATATCCGCAAATATCTATTTATTTTTCGGATATCCGTTTTTCCGGATATCCGTATTTTTTCGAAGCAAAGCAAATACCAAAATTAGATATCCGTAACATTCGAAGCAAATCACAAATACCTTAAAAAACCCGAATATCCGATCCGCGCCCACCCCTAAGCATAATATAGAAGATATTCTTGGCTCGAATAAAGACTAATGCTTGGAGACCTAAAGGGTTATGTACTCATGCATGATTGAGGGAAAAGAGACAAGCTGTTAAACAAAAAAAAAAACATATTTTTATACAATTTTTGTAGACTATTCATTCAAGTGGATTGAAAAGTCTATGTTCTTCATTACCTAATCGCATTATTGTATTGTCCACTGATGATAGTAGATATAAACTAATTACCGATTTGAGTGGTTCCAAGGGATCTTACACTGGAAAAGACAGTCTTAACTACTTTCTTCAATATTTTGTTTGTGTATTCTTGTATCTTTAGAAGTCGCCTGGAAACAATGACATCTACAATTTGTCATAATGTACGAACTTTTTTATTTGATGAACTCTAGCTAGTTTATCAATTACCATTAGATACTATATATTTATTTTGGCATAGCATTTCCACAAAACAAAGAGTTATATAATATTAATAATTAACAAAGAAATGGGATTAGAAAGAACCAAATCACGGCGTTTAGGGACCAGATCTTGTTTATAAAATAGCTACTTGAGTTTTTAAATTACATTTTTTTTATTTCATTCAATTCCAACTATTAATTTATTTCAAATTAAACAAAACAAAAACATCGGACTATATGTTATACAAAATATTTTTCTTGTACGAGATTTATTGTAATTATGTTTGAAGGAATTCTTGTATCTTTTATTTGATATACTATCGATGATGGTCATACTATATATTATTAATTCTTTGTTACCATAGATACACAATTATTTCTTCTCTGACGATCGACGTAATAATAAATTTGTCCCCACAGCATTTTACTTGACGCCCACAGACCACAGTACTACGGACCTGACTACGTCACTGAATAATTACTAGCAAAAGACAAATCTAGCTGAGATAAAAAGTAAATGTTTGTTATATATCTTTGTCAGACTTCAGCCTCACTTTAGTAATTAGTGATATTTTTTATCTATTAAAATATGAATGTGTGTGACACAGATAATGGTCAAATGGTGGTAATCTGTTAGAAATTACATTATTAAAATGGACTATGTTGAGTCTCATTTCTTATGAAGATCGATTTTAATTATTAAAAATGGACTATATATGTTGAGTCTCATTATTTCATGAAGATGAAATTGAATTTACCACTTCATGATATAAATGAATGTCATAAAACAATATTTGTTCTCAATAAATCCCGTTTGTTTAGTAATTTCTTTTGGTAGGAAATACAGAATGACCTATGTAGAAAACAACTCCAACTTTTTGTTTTCCCGGATATTTAGCTTTCATCGGGTCTTGTAAGTTGTAACTCGTGCACTTGAGATTTTCGCATAAGAGGTGTTTTGAACATGTTTTGTCGTAATATTATCTATACTATTAAAGCAGAATCCCTATTAGGATTCTGCCCTTAATGTTTTAATTAATTACATTGCTATACCACTGGAATTTAGTTTTAATATCTATATTATTTATTAAAATTACACAACAGAATTTTTCCTATATTTTTGGCAACTAATATTATCCATATTTTAAAAATAATATAATTCTAATTTTATGCAAATAATAATTTCCATTAAATTTGAATATTATTTTTTGTGTTTAGTATTATTAAACAATCAAATTTGAATATATATATATATATATATGAAAATTTAAATAAAATATTATTTACTGTGTCATTTTTACATTATACTGATATGCTAATTTTGAACCTTCAAAAATATATTAAAAATTTTCATAAAATCAAAACTTTACATCTAAAATAAACAGTAATAACTTTCATAAGTTATTAAAAATGAAAAAACTAATATTGTCATATCAATAAATTTTACTTTTTATATTACCGTTATTTATTTTTTAAATAACTTAATAAAAAATTCATTAAAGTATATGATATTACAATTTTTAAGTCTTATTATGCATTATTTAATCAAAATATTATCATTTTTTTTTGGTTTTCAGCAAATCATCTAACATTTGATCACATGTTAATAACAGGTTTTCGACTTTTACAAGGTTTTATTTAATTTTTAACTATTGACCTATTATTAAATCTGAACCAGATTAAACAAAGATCGCCGGATCTATCAGTTCAACCACGGTCTGAAGCGAATATGAAAACATTTCCTGAAAATTATATATAATAGATTTTTTTTTTTGAAACACAAATATACAAACTTTAAAATTTTTTATTTTTAATAAAATTTATAAGATCAATCAAATTTTATCGAAATCGTAAAACATGAATAGAAATGACTCTAGACACTAGACGACTCGACAAACTTGACTTCCTAGACATGACTCGACCCAACAAGACTTAACTAAGGACCTTTGAGAGTACAAACGAAAAATCCACTACATGATGAGTTGGTAGCATTTTTTCAGCCTTGATCTAGTCATTGTTAATAGCTATCGGATTT